GCCCCTTAGAAACATAATTTCTGCATACACTTCCTTAAAGAATGAGTCAAGAATTAAGAGCCGGCTTTGAAGAATAACAAAATTAAAGAAGGAGGAAGACAATTAACTGAAAGTATCCAAACAGGAGACTCAATAAAATACTAGAAAAATCCATTCATAATTTCTAAAAACAACTCTATTAATTTTATTTGGCAAATCTTTAAAGATATAATAATGCACAATGTACAATTCTTTAGAGTTTCAGGTGTCTATGAAGCAATAGTAGTTTATAGTCTTGGTTCCCAAATTGAAGTGTGTGTGTAATCTTTGTACAATTTAAAAAAAACATTGTCATTGAGTCAATTCCAACTCATAATGACACTATAGGACAGAGTAGAACTGCTCCGTAGGATTTCCAGGGCTGTAATCTTTGCAGAAGCAGACTGCCACATCTTTCTCCTGCAGAGTGACTGGTGGGTTCGTCCTGTCCATCATTTGGTTAGCAGCCCAGTGCTTCACCATTGTGCCATCAGAGCTCCTGATAATCTTCTGTAGGGCTTGTTAAAACTGTTTCAGTGTCCCTCTCCTTGTTAAAACTGTTTCAGTGTCCCTCTCCCAGAATTTCTGAATCAGTAGGTCTAGGGTGGACCCATGAATTTATATGTGTAAAAATATCCTAGAAAATGCTGATGCTGCTATTTCAGGAACCACTCTTTTAGAACCATTGGGTTATAAGATTAATCATTAGAAGTGCAATACTACCCCTTAATCTATGCTAATTTTTTAAAAGTGCTAAAGAAATAATTCTATATTTTATTGCCTAAAATGCTTTCATAAATAAATTAAAAAATTTAATCAAATTACCTCTGCATATTGGACTACCTATCCATCTGCTCTTGATGCACTTTACAATACTTGACCCATCTAACTGGTAATTTTTTTCACATTCATACTCCACTTGTTCTCCTGAACTATATGATTCTTTTTCTGGGTCTTTGAGTATGGCATTAGCAAACGTGGGTAATTTAAGACAATCTGTTTCTGAAAGAAAAGGAATATGCATTTGTTTAGTAAATCTTTAAAATATGTATATTCCAGTAATTATATTCCAAAAAAA